GGGGGGGGTGCAGCCTGAGACAGCTCCCCAAAACTCCCTACGTGGCCCACAGACCCAAATTATTCCCCACCCCTGCTTTAAAGTAACATATTTGCAGGTGAAAATCAACAGAAAAATATGCAGTGTTTGGGAGATGAGGTACTGTAATGCAGTAGGGCATTAGCAAAGCATGTGAAGTCTGAGGAACATTTTAAATAAAAATGGGGTGGACAACACACAGACAGAAAATGCAAAGTCTCTTAATGAAAAGTATGTGGAGCACCCAGTAATAACGTTCCCTATGCAATCCAAATGCCAGGCAAATTTCAATTGCATGCACAAAATGCAGTGACACTTTGGGCCAGCAAGTAGGATGGTGTTTTGCAGAAAAGCTGTGAGTTTGGAGCTATTCAACTGATCTGAACTAAGATTCTTAATGTGCAGGCTCCATAATACCCAGGCATGCTGAAAAATGCACAGCTGAGTCCCACCAACCTGCTCCATGAACCTTCTCAACATACTTATGTTCCTTTTTTTGCAAAGAGTTTGTTTGCTCTCACTGCAGATGGGAGACAAGGGCCTGTCATTGCTCCCCCAGTGGGATGGCTCACAGGAGTACTTACCTGTTGCAAATCCACAAGGGGTGCCAGAAGAAAATAGGAAGGTCCCATATCGCTGCAGGTCTGTTTGGTAAATGTGAGTGGTAGAATGTAAAGGTCAGGATCTGCTGGATTTCCAAGCTGAGAAAAAGCCATTTTACTGTGATCTGAATAATTGGACATTTGCAGACATTACAGTTTTCCCTTTCTCCAGCTTCCAGTACTCTGGAATTGCACTGCAAGGGCTGAAGTCCTGATGCAGGATACTGTCTTCGTTGGGAAATTAAAAATGATAAAAGGAAATCTTGTTCTTACAAAATGCCATTAACCTGCAGAACTCTTGGCCACATGAAATCACTGGCAACAAGAATTTAGCAAGGCTCAGAAAGGGAGTTGGATTGTTATATAGGTAGCGAGAATCTCTAGAGTTGTGCTAGTTAAGCATGATAAGATGTTTGCAAAAGATATTAAACCTCATGCTTCAGGGCTCAGACCAAGTTACGACTATCAGAGTGAAGGATGAGATCTTATGTGGGCAGCAGATTATCCCGTAGCTCTGGACTTAAAGGGGCTTGCATCTTTCTCTGAGACGGCCACCTCATGCCAAGAGGATTCTGGATGAAGCAGGTGAGGCTCTGATCCCCTCCAGCAATTCCTGTGGCCCTTTGCTAAATCCCATGGCTTTCCACAGGAACTTAGCCCATGCTTAAATGCATTCCCAACAGGGATGTCTGCCCAAGTGGGAGTCTTTCTGAGCACGATCCTTGATGATTAGCTGGAAGATTGGCTTTTAAAAAGCCAGTTTCTTTTAATGGACTTCATACTGGTAATCCAGTGTGTCGGAGCAGACTCGGTTAACCGAGTCTGCGGAGCACGCAAATTGATGTGCCCAGGGCTGCGTCACATGCATTTGTATAAACAGCTAAATGCACACCAGCATGCAGAAAATGGCAGTGGCGCACTTTTGAACTAAAACACCGTCAATGTGTTTTCATTCAAAAGTGTGCCACTTTTTTCCAAGCGTTGATGCGCATTTTGCCATTTATACAAAACGCATGTGCCACAGTGCCGGGTGCTTTTAAAAGTGCCCGGCACTGCAGCACATGCATACATACAAATGCCCAAGTGCTTAGACCATCCCTTTCACATTGCCATCTCCTCTAACAGGTAGGTTTGGCTTCAGTAGTGCTTTCATTTTTGCAAGGAAACATGAACCATCTTTAAAGATGAGCAGAGCTCAGCGTCCTAGTTGTGTCATCAGCTATGAAATTTCGAGCTTGTGTAGCTGAAAGGAAGCATGTGCTCAAAGAGGTTGGAAGATCCAGCAGGAAATTGCCTGAGCTTTGCTGAAGTCTGTACAGTGTGAGTTCAGAGCGACTAGAGTGCATCAGACAGTTTGCGTCCCTTTGAAGTGGTTGAGCATGGCACTGATACTGGGGCTTTCTCTGTCTCAGAAGGGAATATGCAATCTGCTTGTGATGTGTTACGTTTTCCCTGCAAGCCTCGATCGAGTTGGCAGCATTTCTCTCTTTTCCGAAAGGATAGTTTGGGGGGAGGGAGGACGTAGAGCTGATCAAAAAATGGCAAATTTTTTCCTCCCGTTCTTATCGGGGACAGTGTGACGGTCATAGCTACAATAGCTGTGCGTGCAGTTGTCATCCCATGAGGTGGTGTTGATGATAAGCTAACGGGAGTTCGAGCATGATCAGACGTGAATAAATTTTGCCTATCTATAGTCTCCAGAGTTGTCACTGTGCACGCAAAAGGCATAGAAAACCTCAGAGCAGCAGCTGACATGGATGTTGTGTCCAGGCCCCAAAACCTGGGCTTGGAGTTTTTTGCGGAGGGGTCCTCGTACACCGGGGGCAGGCAATTATTTCGTGCGGAGGGCCACTTACTGAGCTTCGGCAAGCTATCAAGGGCCGCATGACAGGCAGTCAGGAGCAGATAAATATTAATTTTCTAA